ATGATTTTGAATTTTTTTTCTTGTGTACAGGAAGAAATGAAGTATGATCTTTATGCAGTTATAGTGCATATAGGATTTTCATACTGTTCTGGGCACTATTACAGCTTCATTCGTTCTGCTCCAAATGAATGGTACAAATTTGATGACTCAAAGGTATATACTACAAACAAAGTTCTCTATTCTTTTTTATGGTTTAGTGTAGGATTAATCAGTTTTCTCAAGTTTCCTAATATTCTGTGGATTTCTAACTTTGTAACCATCATCTTGTTTTTGTACCAATTAAACATCATTACATCTTTGCTTATTTTTGTTATATGGTAACCTGCATTGCCCCTGGAAAAAACGGGGGTAAAACAAGCGTTTATGATGAACTGATTTTATATTTGTTTCAACTTGATAGGTTGTTCGTGTTCGAGAAGATTATGTTTTATCACAGGAAGCATATGTTCTATTTTATGCAAAGAGGGGCACCCCTTGGTTTTCAAATTTTATTGAAGGGCAAAAGCCTTTTATAGATCCGTCAATACGGAGTACTTCTCCCAAATCGGTTTTAGAGAATACAGATGCTGTCTGTGTTCCTTCTCCGCTTCTGCCGAATGCCCAAGCTTTCTGTGTCAAAGAATCCAATGATGCTGCAAATGAGTCATCTCCCAGTTCTCTCAACAAGGTTCATGATAGTGACGGAAAGGAAAATGTGCAGATGATGTCTACTCCTAGACCACCACTAGGTGCAAGTAATATTTTGGATTCCAAGTCACGTGAAGTGGATAAAGTGTCTTCACCTTCAGTTCTCAAAGATTTGTCTAAATCAGTTTCTAGTGTTTCAGTACTCGAAGAAAACTGCAGTACTCTGACCCCTGGTTCTACCAGCAGAACTTTATATATCACACCCGACACACCGCCTAGATCTCCAAGCCCAGAGATATACAGAGAAGACCCCCCAGGTATCTTCCTTTTCTATGTTATTGTCAACTTTGTTGCTTATAGTGAATATAGAGAAGCTGATGCTAAATCATTGGTTTTCATTTGCAGATAATGATTACCATATTCCTCATGGTCATCTAAGAACGGTAGGCCAGGTTTCTTGCAAAAAGCAACTGCAGAAAGACCTAGAGCAGGACATGGAAAGAAAGCAGGCGTGCTCTCTGATAAAGAAAAACATGCCTGGGTCTAGAGCCCAGCAATTACTAGCTGCTATGCAGGGTTCGCGCAGTGAAGGTTCTGCTAATAAGAGGAGGAGAGGAATGGAAGTATCTCCAACTAGAGATGACAGTAATCCCACCAGTCGCCGAAGGTCTAGCATTGGCTCTACGATGCGTCCTGTAATGGCTGGCAGCATGAGATAAGCTATGAGAAAATACTAGTAGTAATTTGTTAATGGAAACGCTGATACCAAGCTCTAGGCATCTTGTATCCTCCAACAAACATGGCTCCGAGTTAGTTTTATAGATGTTCAGCTGTTTTGTTGTTCATATTTCAGAGTTCCATTGTATAGTGCAGAGTAAAGATTTAATATTATATTCTCAATGTTGAGAATTATAATTACTCGCACATACCCAACAACTTGGAGAGCTTTTGTAGTATGAATTTTTTATTATATACACCGAACTTTAGTGCATAGTAAATATCAATGCTTCTATTCATTTATTAATTTACTAGTTTCGTAAAAAGTACAAAATATTTACAGGACTAAGCAATTAAAATATAAATACTAGTTATTTTATGTGCTTAGTTGAGAGTTAACTTTGAGGTTGTCTAAAAAAAACTTTGGATTGAAGCATCTTCAATCATCACAAACCAGGCAACTTTTTTTTGGCTTCCTTGTATTTTGTTCTTGTGCATCACATCCTAGGTTACATAAATTCTTTTTCTTGTTAATATCGAACAAATTGTTTTGAGCTCCTCAAAACTTGTCCTATATCTAAGTATGTGAAATGCCTTGAGCAAATCCCTTCTTTTCTCCTTCACAAATAATTACATTGAGATTATGTCTGGTGATAAAGAAGAGAGGAATTTTTGCAAGAAAACAGGAGAAGAAGATGTTCCCGAACATGTAGTTATAGTGATGAATGCATTGAAAGAATTCTCCATTGAATCACTTGAATGGCCACTCAAAAATGTTGCCTTGAAATCATGTTGCAGTGTTACCATTATTGGCATAATGCCCTGGCTCAATATTCCTCGTATATATATACTTCCATGTTTAATCATTTCAATATTTCTCGCGTCATCTTCTCATGGACTAATTTTATCACCTACCTAAGATGATCATTATATATTTAGGATATATACTTACTTATGTTCTTAATTTTACAGTCTCCGCCAAGACATGGTCGGACATCTGGAGCGTGGATTTTCAAGAACTTACAATGATTAGAGAGAGAAGTGATCAATGGAGAAGTACTGATTATGCTAAGTATCACAAAGTTCAATATCTAATTGATCTTTGTGAAAAATATGGGGTATTGACTTCAGCTCTCTTAAATAATAATCATATAAAATCTTGTTTAAATGATTTCTTCTTCAATAATTATTTTCTGATTTATCAAAATTAATTTAGGTAGAACCAAAAATCAGAACAGAGATGGGCCATCCACTAAAATCTCTCGTGGTGGATCTAATCACTACCCTTCAACCTACTCTAGTAGTATTCGACAGGTATTATTCCCTCCATTTCATTTTACTCGACTCTTATATCAAAAATAAATATTTCATTTTACATGATATTTTTAGCAATTAGGTGAGTTATATTACCTTCAATAAAATACACCTCTAATTAAAACTTTTTAAAAAGGTATGTCAGATCAAACATGGATCAAATAATATGAATATATATTAATTACACGTGACTTGGCGATTATGTAAATATTTTTTATACGGTCTATATTGCAGGCACCATGACAAGAAGAATATAGAATACTATGCAGAGAAACTACCAATATATGACATGGTTTTAATAAACGAAGATGGAGAAGTGGATATGATGATCAAAGCAAAGTCTCAGAAAAATACCAAATCCCCTGCACCTTCAATGGTCACAAAACCTATGATTTCTGGACAAATTATTAATTTTTTCAAGCCAAATTGTGTCAAAACTTGAAAAATTCCAGAGAAAATTGAGCATTTTGCTGTCTTACAATAATATTAATAAATAATTTAATATAAGGTTTAAATAAGCTATTAAGAAATTGAATAACGTTATTCTACTCCATATATCCGTTGTAAACAGCAAAAATTTAAAGACTGCAGCATCTTCAAGAGTCAATATTACTAGCACTTTTGCTACTATATATTATAATAAATTCAATTATATTTCTCCCATTTTCTTTCTTTTGTGATTTTATTATTAAGTACTCTATTATCTTTGTTAACTTAACATTGTACTTCAGAATTAGAGCCAACAAAAGTTAAACAACTTTAATTTATTACACCCTTCGTTCAATTTTACTTGTCATATTTTGCTTCATGAGAATCAATTTGACTTATAATCTTCGAGCTAAATTGAAATAGACTAATTCAATATTTTAAATTTAAACTTTAAATGTACGAATATGAAAAAAATACTATAAGTTGCAATCCTTCTCATATTAATATGATAAAAAAGTATATCTTAAAATATTGATAAAAATTTATACAGTTAACTCTCGAAAAACGAAATATAGCAAGTAAAAGCCACAGAGGACATAACAAATTAAGGATGCAACTAGCAAAGAAGTGCCATGATCTGTTTCATCAACTTGCAAAATACTTTTTCTTTATCAAGAGAAGTACCGTTTTAGCTCTTTTCATATCCATTTAAAAAAACAATGGCAAGGAATCATTTAACTCCTATGGAGTATGATCATACCTAATGAAAATAGCTTGAAGATCAGTTTTTCTAGGATCTTAACTTTACTAAATGGGAAAAAAAAAGATAACTGCACTTTCTGACTATGACAAAAAAGTGCAAAAGAAAGTGGTAAAATGGAGAGTTTGATAGCTTCACCTCACTCATTGCGTTTACAATATCTCATATATATGTCATACGTGCTCACACTCATCTCAGCCACCTGCTAGGGGACCAATTCTTTTTCCAGTAACAATAAGATCATCAAAATTTCATTTGCATTTTATTGGTAAAGGATGTGATGCATAGCCCACCACTAAAACGATCTTTAACAACAATTATTCAACGACAATAGTTAAATTACTACTCCCTCCGTTTCACAAAGAGTGACCTAGTTTGACTTGGCACGGAGTTTAAGAAAACAAAGAAGACTTTTGAATCTTGTGGCCCTAAATTAAAGTTATGTCAAATGTACAAAATTGCCCTTTAATCTTGTGGTCTTAAACATTCCACGTGAAAAGTTGAAAGTAAAATGTTACCAAAAAAGGAAAGAGGTCATTCTTTTTGAAACAAACTAAAAGGAAAGGGGGTCATTCTTTTTTGAAACGGAGGGAGTACTAAATATATATTTTTAGCGGCAATTAATAGTAACAATTACATTTTAGCACTCTTTGTAAATGTTCCTAAAGTCTATAACGACATTAGATTTAATAACAATTATCTAAGAACAATAAAAAGTTTACCTTTTTTTTTGTTACTCCCTCCGTCTATTTTTATTTATCATGTTGCACTTTTCGAAAATTTATTTGACTAATTTTTAAAGTTAAATTAGATTACATTAATTTGATATTTTAAACAAAAAATTTAGTTATTCAAAAACTATACGAAAAGTATTATAAATTGCAATTTTTTGTGTATCAATATGATGAAAAAATACATCGTAAATGTTAGTCAAAGTTTTTGTAGTTTGACTTTAAAAAAGAAATTATGACAATTAAAAGTGGATGGAGATAATAATATACATATTTATTGGCCGCTAAAATCTATTTTTGTTGTAGTGCGCTGGTGTGACCAAAATATCAGTGATTGTCTAAATTAGTGGTTACTGAACATTGGAAGAGAACTTTGTTGTAATCTACCATTGCTACCAGTAGTAATTGTTGTTCAATGAAGATTAAAGAAAAAATTATAGATGATGAAAATCAAATATTGATTCTTATATACTTTTAATATCATTATTACATATTAAGGATAACAATTGAAGTACATATAGTAATTAACACTACTTCAGTAGTAGTGTAGTACTAATGGGGTTGCATGCATGCATGCATTAGACCATACAAGTTATGAAAGTTCAAGGAATGTAGCCACCATGGCCACCTCCTCCACCACTTCCACCACCTCCTCCATATCCACCTCCTGATTCACCACCAGCATGTCCACCTCCGTAAGCTCCTCCTGCGCCACCACCTGCACCTCCACCGCTTCCATATCCACCACCACCAGCTCCTCCTGAACCATAACCTCCTCCATGACCACCTCCCCCTCCATATCCACTACCAGGTAAACTTCCTTCTCCTCCATAGCCACCACCACTTCCTCCTCCTTCTCCACCTCCATAACCTCCCCCCGGAACCCCTCCCGCACCATATCCACCACCACTACCACTTCCACCTCCTCCTCCACCACCATATGCACCTCCATGTTCTACACCTCCACCGTATCCACCACCACTTCCTGTTCCTCCTCCTCCACCACCATATGCACCTCCATGTTCTACACCTCCACCGTATCCACCACCACTTCCTGTTCCTCCTCCTCCACCACCACCATATGGACCTCCATGTTCTGCGCCTCCACCATATCCACCACCACTTCCTGTTCCTCCTCCTCCTCCACCACCATATGCACCTCCATGTTCTACGCCTCCACCATATCCACCACCACTTCCTGTTCCTCCTCCTCCACCACCACCATATGCACCTCCATGTTCTGCGCCTCCACCATATCCACCACCACTTCCTGTTCCTCCTCCACCTCCATATCCTATATCATGATCACCACCACCACCATAACCCCCTCCTCCACCATGTCCACCACCACCACCTCCTCCATATCCTCCTCCATGCTCTCCACCAGGTGCATAACCGCCACTACCTCCACCACTACCACCACCTTCACCACCACCACCATATCCACCATGATTAACTACACCTTCATAACCACCACCACCTCCAGAACCTCCACCTCCACCACTGCCATATCCCCCAGCTCCACCACCCCCATAACCGCCTCCTGAACCACCACCATGCCCTGCACCATAGCCAACGGTGCCACCCACATTGTAGCCAAGACCTCCCTCTAGATTGAGGAGAGCTCTAGAAGAAGCATAACATATGGTTACACTAACTAACATAAAGAAAAACACAATAGAAACCTTATGATTAGCCATTGAAGAATGTTTTGTGAATCCCACAATTTTGGTTATGATATGTAAACAATTACGCCTCTATATATAGACATTCCCCAAACAAGCATGTTGTGGTTGGATGATGGTCCAGAAGCGTGTCAATGAGCAAAGAGTGGTTGAAGCACATGCAAGAAGAATTTTTTGCTTCCCCCACTATCGCAATATCCACAAAAATACACAACAAAAGTGGAATAAAGGGAATTAGGATGAAAATGATATATATGCTCTTTCTGTTTCAAGTTGTTCGTTCTATTTTAATTTGATACAAAATTTAAAAAAATAAATAAGACTTTTAATTCTTATAATTTTAAATTAAACATGTAACGGGAAATTAGAGTTACGATTACCTTAAAAATAAAAATAAGTTTTTCTTAGACGAACTAAAAAAAGAAAGATGTTGGATAAATGGAAAGTATTTTATTGCACTAGCTAGTAGACTACAGTAGAGTGCTTTTGCTGGCATCCACAACTTCGATTATCACTGCCATTAATAGTCCAATGCACCGGACTTTGATCGATGATGAAGTTATTTATCCAATATTAATCCAATTCAAACTGTTATAAATCTTTTACTAAATACAAATTCGTGCGTTTTAATTTTAAATGATCATGCTTGATCAGACACAAATATTAACAAAATAATTTTTTAATAAGATGCCAGCAAAAAACGTTCAAATTAGAATAAAACAATTTTTTGATTTTGTTTTTACATGTTGTATCGAAGTTGAGTTAAATCTCTAGTTGTGTTATATATACATTTAAAATTTTCATGTATTAATTAGGACTTCCCTTCAAGATTATTAATTCGTAGTGTGTTATATATACATTTACAAATTTCATGTATTAATCAAATATTACTTCATTTTTTTTAGAGGGCGCCATTATTACCACGAATAAATTTAACAACAATAATATAATTGTTGTTATATTATATTTAATAGTAATAATAAATATGTGTATTTATAATTGTTATTCTAGGTAAATGGCGATAAAATTTTTAGCGATGTTGAATATAATGACGTTAAATCAATTGTACCTAAATATGTTTGCTACTATAAATGTTACCGCTAAATTATTTTTATTGCCAGTTTGCCACTAATTAGATTTCTCTACTAACCCATTTATGTGATGTTCTTATCTTTTGTATTGGTGCATTTTGCAATTTCCATTGAAGGGATAAAAGTAGCAAGTGGTTGAAAGATTTATATGTCTCCCTCAATCATTTAAAATGTACTATTTTCCAATTAAATAATGTAAGAAAATTTGATTTGCATAATTTCTGAATATTTAAATTAATCCTAATTTTAAAATTAATTTAGTATATGCTTATTATAATTTATTAAAATGAACGTTACTAAGCGAAAGTATCCATCAAATTAGATTTGACAATTTCACCTTTTTTGTGAGAAGACGGATTTCCAAATTCGACATTATAAAATTTGATCAACAGTCTTAAAATTAAAGAGCCTAACAAGAACCAAACATGCCCAAATAGTTTATAAACCTTCTTGAATTTTGTAATAAACTAGTTAAAGCGCGATCATATTGTCTTATATATAGTTGATATAAAAAAATTTAGAAAATTTCAATACTAAAAATAATATATATAAAATCGAACTGAAAATAACAATAAAAGAAGAAAGGAAAAAAAAACAATAAAAATAAATTTGTCTGAAGAAAAAAGTAGAAGAGAACTACAATTTAGCTTCAAAAAAAGTACAAGACAACTACAATTTAGCCTTGAAGTAACACAGAGAAATATTTCTTTATATGCAACTTTATTACATACATTGTTATTTCATATTTAGGTGTTTCAAATTATTTATGCTATTTTACTAATAACTTTCTTTATATAATTCTATTTACGTTTATAGGATTTGTTTAACTATTTAAATTTAGAGTTTCAATAAATCATAATTACTAGGAGTTTTTTTCTTATAATAACTAACTAAATAAATGAGAAAAATGAAATTAAAAAACAATTTATTATTTGGCCAGTGCAACATTTTTATTCCTAACTTTAATATGGGTTCGTCATGACATGTAATTAATATAAATAGATGTTGGGCAAAAGATTTTAGAGAATTACAACTTATCATTTTTTTCATTTATTTAGTGAGTAATTGCCTTATTTTTTAAATTGACTAATCATGTAATATTTTTTAGATTTTTGAAAATTAAGATAATAAGAGAGATCTCATAATTAAGAGAGTTAAGAGGATGAGTTTTTTTTAAAGCTATTTGAATTGATATTTATTAGACTACTTTATTTTAATACTAGATAATGTTGCCCGTGCTATGCACGGGCCCAATAATATAAATGGTATATTTTGGGGCTAATAATCGAGTTTTTGAAGCGATTGTTTGCGTGGATAAAGGAATAAGTTTTTTTATCACAAACCTGTACTTTCTTTAACGCTATTTAAGGCATAATAAGACTACCCACATACAACATTTTTGAAATATTTTATGTTGTCAATTATCATGATTTATAGTATTTTTACGATAGATTCACTTCAAGAATCAGTGAAATTTTTTGTATTTTTTTTCAAAACATATTTTATGTTGTCAATTATCATGATTTATAGTATTTTTACGCAATTTTTAAATATAAAAAAAATAAGACAAATAAATTAAAATGGACCCAATATATGTTATTTTTGTTGTCTCAATTTATGTGACAAATGAAATTTGGAGAGTCATCCAAATTTTCATATTTTTTTACAAAATGTTTGAAGTTATTAATTATTGTGATTTATAATATTTTTATGTACCTTTGAAATAATGTATATTACTGGTCACTTTGTCCTAATTTATGTGATATGGATAAAATTACAAAATTAACCCTTTTAAAATGTCTTTAAGATATTTTAAGTTGTTAATTATTATTATTTATAATACTTTTTTGGTAATATTAAAATGATATGTGTTATTTTTTCTGTCCCAATATATGTGAGCCTGATAGAATTCTGAGAGTCAACCTATGTTATTATATACCTTTTAAATATTTTAAATTGGTAATTATTGTATTTTTTAATGCTTTTTAAATCATTTGTAAATGATATATGTTGTTTCCTTGATTGGGACTTTTCCATTTGTGAGATATATATATATACACACATATCGTGCTATGCACGGGCCCAATAATATAAATGGTATGTTTTGGGGCTAATAACCGAGTTTTTGAAACGATTGTTTGCGTGGATAAAAGAATAAGTTTTTTTTATCACAAACCTGTACTTTCTTTGACACTATTTAAGGCATAATAAGACTACCCACATGCAACATTTTTGAAATATTTTATGTTGTCAATTATCATGATTTATAGTATTTTTACGATAGATTCACTCAAGAATCAATGAAATATTTTGTATTTTTTTTCAAAACATATTTTATGTTGTCAATTATCATGATTTATAGTATTTTTACGCAATTTTTAAATATAAAAAAAATAAATTAAAATGGACCCAATATATGTTATTTTTGTTGTCTCAATTTATGTGACACAAATGAAATTTGGAGAGTCATCCAAATTTTCATATATATTTTTTAAATGTTTGAAGTTATTAATTATTGTGATTTATAATATTTTTATGTAACTTTGAAATAATGTACATTACTGGTCACTTTGTCCTAATTTATGTGATATGAATAAAATTACAAAATTAACCCTTTTAAAATGTCTTTCAAATATTTTAAGTTGTTAATTATTATTATTTATAATACTTTTTTGGTAATATTAAAATTATATGTGTTATTTTTTCTATCCCAATATATGTGTAACACCCCGTATTCGAAAATAGAGATTTCAGATTTCTGGTGTTACAGATGGCACTCACGGACACCATCCACGGACCGTAGATGGACTCACGGTCCGTCCTGCAGGTCCGTGGTTCGTGACAGAAAACTTCCCCAGAACTCAGTCAGAAAATTTGGCTAAGTCCCGACTCACGGACAGACCCACGGTCCGTAGATCAGACCACGGTCCGTGGTCTATGTCCGTGGATCGAGACTTCCCTTACCAGCCTCTGACAAAAACTACGGTCGACCAGCACGGACCGTCATTCGATCCACGGTCCGTAGGTCTGACCGTAGATGAGGTTAACAACTAGTTAATTAGTTATTTAAATGTTCCAAATCAGATTATCATGTTATTGCTCAGTTTATCGCATGAATTTCAGAACCCTAGCTATGTATTTCTTTAGTTCTTGAATTACACATGCTAGGTCAGATATTTCAGTATTCAGTTTTACATGCCTTAGTTTATGAATGCATCATTATCAGATTAATTGTTGTATTCTCAGTTTGCATATTCAGTTTCGAGCTATCCAGTATTTACAGAAATTCAGTCATAACTAGTTAACCACTTAATTCATTGGGAGTAGCATAATACCGAGTTGGACTAGGGTTTCAGCGTACCCATATAGTCCCAGAACTACGAGCCACGTAGGTGTAAGTCCCCTCTGTGGGCAACATCAGTTTAGTGATCACGCCAGCATGCCTCTATACCTCTGGCAGGGTATATTGGGTCCTCTCGATGGGGCGTATACATCGAACTCCACATTTAGCTCATGTGGTTTTATGTCGGTTATTAGTAGCTCCCACAGTTCAGTCAGATTTTATTGCATTGACTATTTATCAGTATATTCAGTATTTAGTCTCGGCATGTTATAAATTGGTCATTGCTTCAGTTAGCTCAGCATTCAGTATCTATATCATGTTCAGATTATTTCATTGCTTTATTGCTTTGTTCAGTTATATGTTATTTCAACTTTACTCTATCCTGCATGCTCAGTACCTTTCAAGTACTGACGCATACGTGCGCTACATCTTCTCGTGATGTAGGTTCAGGTTCTCAGTATTCAGCTCACGCTTAGATCGGTTCCCAGTCTTCAGTTCAGCAGCACCAGTGGTGAGTCCTCATTCTTCGAGGACTGGTGACATGTTTATCTTTATCGCTTTTAGTCTTTAGTTTCAGTTTTACTAGATCTAGTTGGGGCATGTCCCAACATTTTTAGTCAGTTTAGAG